ATGTCATTTGCTCGCTTCAACAACTGGTGCAGAAAGACTTTGGCACCGCGGAAAACGCAGCCGCACTGACCCGCCCCGACAGTCCGTAATGATGAGGAGAGTATTTGGTGGCAAAGGGGGAGGGGTCGTAGTTAGGCTGAAAAATTTTTTTCTTGATACTTGCTTATTCTTGCTTCAGGTACGCAGGAGTCGTATTTGCTCGCTGTTGAGACCCCCTCCTGACCTTCTGAGAGAGGCTGCTGATCTTCGTGGGTTTTCTTGTTTGATGTGTACCATGGCCTTCCCCCACCCCTCCCTCCCATCCTGCTCGACAAGAAAGTTTTTGGGTGAAAGTGGGAAAATTTCGGGGATTGCGGAAAAAGTGGTAGGAAGTTGGGAAAAATCCAAGAAATGGTAGAGAGGTGTGTCGTATTTCCTCTCCCCTCAAAGCTCGATGAGGAGGGAACTACGGGGAGTCGCACCAACCCCCTGAGTAAAAAGGGGGAGTCGCACGAACTCAACCAACATTTCCAACTAAAGATGTGCCATGGGAGGGGTCACATTCCTTTGAGATTTTCCCCAACACCATGACAGGCGACGCCATGGTTAAGGATAGTCTCCGCCGTTGATCATTCCCTTTTTGAGATGTGCTACGCATTCCACTTCTATTCAGAATCGTTGTGGCTTATTGAATGCGGTGTATCCTTTAAATGACATGCGGAAACCAGATGTACAAGTCAGGGTTCTTATCCTCCCGGACGGGTCGGGTGTCAATCTACGTCTCCCGGGAGTAGAAAGCTTGTTGGCCAGATCGAGACGATCCAGAACCGGATCCCCGGACCATGGGCGTGACAATCGCCACCTGCAATTTCTCAATAATTTTTTTCGGGGAGCACCGAAAATCGGGGTATCCGTTCATGTCAATCTGTGCTGTCCTTATGTTCTTCCACGGGGACGGCTGCAATAGATGCGTAGCGGTATCCAGAATTCTTTTCGAAATAATATCATCACTATCATCGGAAGACTCGCTCTTTTGAAGGTGTGGCGGCCTCTCTGGGGAGGGGGAGGACAACTAGAAAATTTTTTCTCCGGTTGATTTCATTTTTTTGGAATAGTTGTTTTACTCTTTGCACAGTCGCGCTTTCGCTGGATATATTTACAGTTTTTTCTCAGGTTATACGAAGATGTGACCCAGTCTGTAATCTGCGAGAATGAGAGTAGTCGTCACCTTCGATTTATTGCGACCGAAATGAGTCACGTTTATAGGTAGGTTTACAGCGGCTGAATTCTTATGTGGCCTGCATATTACGCATTCCTGGGAGACGCCTGGGAGACGCACAAGAAAGTTGTAATTTTTAGCGTCGTCGCGCGCGGTGTATCGTGCGGCGATGGGTGGCAAATTGTGTGTGTGTATCAATTAGCCAAATTGAAACAGTGAAACTTCAATTGAAGCGGATATCATGACAGACGATATCGACTTTACCCATCCTTTTGATACTCAAGTTCGGACAAGGCAACTCGACTGTCGGACGCGACGTCGCTCGCCACGCCCACCAGCGCGGCATATTACGATTGTCTTGTCACATACCCTTTCACAAAGGATAGCACAGCTCAACCACTGATTTGGTCCTGTAGTCGCAACTCCCCCTTCTGTGGTTGTGGCAAGGTGACAGTAATACGCCGCGCTGGAGGGAGTGGGTGGGCTTGTTGATCGAGCAGGAAATATGTGAAGGGACAGGATATCTCTATTACTTGGGGTGGCGTGCTTCCGCTTGAATTTACATGAGTTCCGCTGTTCCTATTGACAAACTGAGGGCGCACCGAGAATTTTCCGCCCATAGCCGCACGATGCGCCGCGCCCGACTGCGCAACAGATTGCGATTGTCTTGTCCGTCTATTTGTCCCGTTGGGAAAAGGTGAGTTTCCCCTCGAAATTTTCTTTGTTCAGCGACTAGCGCATCAGTGTGAGTCAGAGAGTAACCCTTGATCACCTCCCAGTACCAAATACCAGCAGAAGCTACTGACGCTAGCTTTGATGCACGATATCATGTGAATGAATGAAGGAATTTGCCAAATTATTGCCCATGTGGCCATATGAAAACAGGATACTCTAAGGAGGTGTAGGAAACAAAGTTTGTTCTAAAGTCGCCCGTTATTAGCAACTCCAGCGCGAGCCGTAAGCGATGTGCAGTCCATATCAGAGGGTGGAGAGGAAAGTTCCCACAGGAAGCTAAGGAAAGCTTCAGAGTACAACAAGTGACAGCCGCCTATTCCTTTACCGATCACTCCCCTTATACGCACATCACTGCTTCTCTTCCATCTTGAAGCTCGCAACGGTCAACAGGGGCACCTGAGAAAGCCCCTTTCCGCCCTCGAATATGGACGGAGTTCTTTCCACCCAATGAGCCTATCATCTGCACACTTAGCGGCACCTTTTATGCGACCAATATTCTAGAGTAACGTAATGTGTCATAGTTTCAATGCTTTTATGGCAGTTACAGCAATTTTGCTACGTATGGGTAGGACAAAGGGCTCGACTAAATGAGGATGCAAAACACTCATGAAGAATCCTGCATTTAACATTAGTGTTGAACACCTATTGAAGCATAGAGTCTTCAAAATCTTCTTTAGACCAACGCTAGAAGGACCGAAGAAGACTGTCTCTCAAATGTATTGTGCAGATTCAATGGCAAGGAGTGTTAAGGAGACTGCAACAGATTCACATTACTCTTGATCGCAGCCACTTCGACGTTCGTCTTGCTGATGCTCGCCTGATGGTATTGTCAATCGACTGCGAACGATCCAGTCGAGTGGTCTGCACAATGGAGAACATCCGTCCGGACCGTATTCCACCGCCGTTCAAAGAAGTGCTCAAACGACAGAAACCTGAAATTCCTGGACAGCCCTACGAGATGAGGGTTAGTTTTCGTCACTATACGTTTTTGAGATGGCTCTTCTTCTATATCTATCTATGCTCACAGTTTTGGACCATTTGGCATTGTGAACGGGCCCCATCGCATTTGTCCATATTCCTTAAGCCAAAGGATAGAACGAAAGAGCGAAAGGTTCTATGAAGGTAGAAAACAGTGGAAAGCAGGATTACTGTTGTTTTCTCACTCTAATGAGTGGAGGTTTCGCCTGCTAATCTAGCGAGCGACACACTTTTCGCCCGTAGTCATGACTTAGGTACGGAATTGCAGATCAAAAATATATCAAGGATACTCGTACTGCTAAGTTGAAGACCACCTATATAACAATCTCGGGCATCACCAAACTTACTGTCGCCTGAAAGCGGATTGTGTTCTGGCCTCTGAGGTTGTCATGGGGGATCGTGTCCCAACTGCGCCAGCTCTGCCTGCACGGTCGCCACACGCTGTACCATAGCCATACGCGCTACTTTCTCCGCCCTCTCTTCTTCTGGTTCTCCTCTACCTCTGATTGAGTGTTCGCTGCGGGTACCGAAGAAGTGCTGCACCTTGGGGATAGCGCGGGCGGAGTCTGAAATAGCACCCTGTATCGCTGTTATTGCCTGTTGTCCGCATGCTCTCAGGGATCGAGTAGGCTCTGAAGTAAGTGTGAAGTTTGTTCTCTTGAATTTTACTTAATTTTTTTGTTTTTTTTACATTAGGGTTGAATGCAGTTTACTGTAAGCTCCTGTGCTTTTCAACACAGAGGAAAACAACAGCAGTAAACGAATAAAGAATGAAAAAGCAGGGCAGCTCGGCTTGGTGGGGGCATTTTCCTGATTTCAATCTGCCGCCTGGGTAAACCTGTGAATTTCTGCAAATCTAATATGTACTCCATTCACAATTGCCAATGGTCTATAAGTCTCATCAAGATGGTGAGCCATGTAAGACAAAGGAACGAGCAAAATAAACAGCAAAAGTGCAAATTGCCCCTATCAAGCCGAACAGCGCTCAAGAGCGTATTTTCGCGCAGGTATTCCAAAATTCTCTTCCGAAGTCCGTTGGCGATCCATGGCGTGGAGCGTACTCAAAGCATGGATTCTGGTATAAATTCAACACAGGCGACATGAACGACTTTAACGAGGTCACTCTCATCCTTGTCTCGGATTGCGCGTTTTCGGCCCTAATAATTCTTCTTTTTTTAGCTAGCAGCTATTGCTACTGAACAAGATAAGTACATGCTAAACTACGACTGTTTCACCACATGGCAGGAAGCCTACGGGTTACAGAACGTGAAGATTATCTGTGCCAAAAACCTTAGCAAGTCTTTTGCGATATTTTGACTTAACGATGCTTCCAGCTGATGATCGTCTTTTTTTCCAGAGAACGAAATCATGGGTGGCATAGTGGCTGTCAAGAAGAAAACCTACACCCAAATTGGCGTTTTCTTTGTGAAAGAAGAGTTTCGCCATTCTGGAATTGGGTCGAAGCTCTTCAAAGAAGTTACTAAAGGCGTTGATTGCATAGCTTTCCAAGCAAGTAAGTCAATTTTTTGAGATGAGATGGAGTTTTAACAAGCGAGGCGTAGTTCTTTTCCAAGGGGGGGGGGGTACCGAATGGTTTCAGCAAAACTTGTCCAGGTCAACATGTCAAGAGCTGCGAATTCTCCTGACTGAAGGGGCTTATCGGTATCACTTCGCAGCTTCGGTGAGACCTGTTATTCAACATGACTAGCAAAGGGGACTAGCAAAAGTGCGAAATTTTCCTCTTCACTGGTATCGCGTCCCGGATACATTCCATGCCGTTCTTCGATTGCCCAGTAACCAGTGCGGGATTTGTCTGGGACGATAGAAACATTATGTGAGAGAGGAGCTCTTACTAGTAAAAGGGTCAGTTTTGGAGGAAATCCAGAGTTCTCCTTCACGGCCTTTCCTTTTTTTCCCGCTTCCGCGCAAACTAGACATAGTTTTCTCAAGCCACCGCCGCCGCCCTTTACCTTCAGAATAAGCTTTGATTCCTGTCTGGCGCTAGGTCTACGTTGGCAGCCCCGAAGTGAGTTCGCTGCTTGTGGAAAGCTTGATTTCGATCTACTCCAAGAGCCATGCCAAGCCAAGATCATGTGAGGAAGTCGAATGTCTGGCGCATTGTGTAGGGGTGCGTCCTGATTGAATAATCTGCCCTTTGACCCTCAGGTCGAAGTTCAGCCGCTGACCACATCTCACGCCAAACGGAACCCTGGAATGGCTATACTAGATCGCATGGTAATTTGGATGTAATGAGCTAATTTATTCGAGGACGGGAAAGAAAAGTAGCAGTACTACCCTCATCAACTATTTTCACTGTAATGGTTGCAATCTTAGAAGAATAATGTGTCTTGTCTCCAAACTTGGACCAGAGCGCGTTCTGTGGCGAAAACTAATTTTTGCGAAAACTTCCCAAATGGGAATCCTCCAATGATGTGAACAGCGCGCATGAAACAGTGAAATCAACAAGAATATTTCTCAGGCTAGATACGACTTCCTCCCTTCAGCGACCTAATACGACGCCTACCCCTGGGATTCCACTGCTTACGACATGCCATATCAATAACAGCGCGTGCGAGTACCCTTGTTCTGAAAATCTGCACTTGATAGTGATGGGCCTTGGACAGAGAGCGAGCAAAAGTAATGCCGGGCACTTTATAGGCTATTAAACTTCCCCCTTCTTGATGTTCAGCGGCTCGCCTAGTCCCTGCTACTTTAGGTCAACGTTGTGTGAACTTTCCTATTCAGTGCATCATCTGCTACCAACACTATCCACCTTCGGACTCTGCAAACAGTTTGGTCGCCGTTTTATCCATGTGAAGATCGACTTTCGCAGAACTGGCGGTACGTTCTTAACATTCAATAAGCTTCGTAGTTGGGAAGTATAAATGGACAAAGTACTTTGCGGTTGAATCAATCCTTTCTTGAATGGGTGATCTTCCTTAGAGCCTTCCTACGTGAGAATCATAGTGGCTTAGTGAATGCGCGTAGCTTTACGAAGTTTCGCGGATCCAGCCGACGTAAAAGTCAGTGCCCCCGGATGCGCGCCAAGCTAGTAGTTTAGAAAAATCTGTATTGTCCCATGAACAAACCCATAAATTACGTGTAGTAATAAACATATTAACACATTATTAATGTGCAGGTGGTGCAGCTCTTCGGGAGGCGAATCCCGGGTTGTCTCCCACCTAAGCCAATCAAGCCTCCCACTCTCCTGGGACGTTCAATTGGCACGGGATCAGTCTAGAGAGATTTGAACACTGGCTTAGATTGCCCCTCCAGGTCTTTATGTAAGCCACATGACATTCTACGATTCTGAAGGGAAGCAGAATGCGCACCCAAAAAGGGCTTGATCAGCGGCACAGGCTTTATCATATACTTTCAAATTAAATAAATATTGAATTCTGCAGTATTCCTCCCTAACTCTTCAGGACACCGTAAAAGAATGCCGTATTGCTCTCAACGATGAAGGCGATCTCTTCAAATGGAATTCAGTTTCAAAATTCGATGATGCGGTTAGCGGAGAAGT